CCCAAACCCAAACCCTTAAAAAAGTTAACCTATACATTGATCCTTTTTAAAAGACCATTAAAAATTTATGAATTCATTATTGATATTCATCAAAATTTCTGAATTTCTTATAAATGTCTAATGTTAAGTTGCATTGGTGGCTAATAGATTTTAATTGGAATCTTCTCAAGTTGTTTAAACTCTTTAACCTTTAAGCAAATCATTGAATATTAATTATAAATCTTTAAAAATATTGATTGCATTAGCGATTTGTCATATATTTATAATGAAAATTTCTTGTTAAAATCCAAAAATGATAATAAATGGTAAAAATTAATTGTATTAGAAATAAAAATAGTTTAATTAATTTATGATGATTGATCATTTTAATAAGATTAGGTATGATAAACAAAATTTATTGATATTTTAAAACTAAATTAGGAAATTTTGTTTCATATATATATAGATGTAGTTTATTTATTAAAAAATTATTCAGTTAAATAGACCTTCCTATTATTTTAATTATGTTTGATAATTCTTATATTCAAGTCAACTTCTCTCAATCTAGAAACTCTATCATTATTTCTTATATTTCTTGGTATTTATTAAGTATATAATAGAGTTCAATCGAAATTTGTAATAATAAAAAAATATAATCCATGAATTTACCAAATAAAATATTATGCTCTAAGGTTGATAATCTATTGAGAAATCATTATACAACCCCAATTATTGAAAAGGAAGATTATATTTTTAATAGAAATGATTATTGTTTTCTGAGATTAAATGTTATTTACTATTTACACATTCAGTCTAATTTTTTTTAATGTTATACAGATAATTAACTAATTTTATGACCAAATCAATATTCTAAATATCTTGAATAAAATTAATTAAAATAAATAGTACTGTGGAGGTTACAATCAAATGATAAAGTCATATATTGATCAGTCTTATTAATTCATTTGAAACATTTCAACCTGTTGTTGCCAAGCATATTACTTTTATATCAGAAGCAAAATTTATATTGAGATATTTAATGATTATTTAGTAGTTTGTAATGTTAATAATTGTATAAAAAAAGCAAATATTAAAATATCGAATCATTATTAATTTCTTATCTAATAAAAAGCTTCAATTTTAATTATTTCAAGCTTTGAATGAACTGTATTTCCATTTCTATTAAATATTTCTATTTATCCAACATATTAATCTTTAAATTTTATAGCAATTACACTTTGAGCTAATGATTAAAATATTAGAGTTTTTATATTATTGTAAATGACATAAACCTCTAAATTATACCATCGTGTAAATTATAAGTCCCAAATTCTAAGCTTTAATGTATTCAATTCATAAGTTTAAATCAAATCAATTATAATTGATCCACCTTAATGGCAAGCATAATATCCTTGTGTCCAATCTGTATTATAGATTGAATCTCTCAAGCATAATGATTTTATCTATCCTTAATTAAAATAATTCATGATTCTTGAACTTATTAGAGCACCATTATTTAAATGCAACACATTTTTATAACCTCCTCGAACTATTGATTTCTTTATTTTTTCTTGAGTTTAGCAACATTCTCCAATCACAATTAATTTTAGTATTATGGCTATTACAAATTTCATTAATAGTTGTTATTAAAATAGAACATTTAGTTATATATATAAGGAATTAATTCTATAAACAAACTAACTGTGAGTGGTCTGATGAAGGAAATTTTTATCAAACAATACAATTATTGATAAATATATTTCATTCAAGGTGTCTACTTATGCTAGTTAGTTAAACCTATATAAATATACAATGGGAATTGTAAATAAAATTTAATCTTCTTAATTGTTTTATTTCTAGAAGTCTCCAATACTTTTATTCCAATATAATAATAAAAAATAATCATAGAATTTCCTTAACTTAGACAAAAATACATTTAATCAAATCTCTGATTAATTGACTTTTCTAATAATAAATTTATAATTTGAACTATCATTAATATTGATTTATAATTTCTTTATAATTAAAGGATTTATGCTTTAATAAGTGAATACATATTTTTTATTTTAAAATAATACACTAAAGATGCAAAAGTATTACTTAAAAGGTATCTTGTGATAATCATATATGAAATTAATGATCATTGTTTTCTCAAAAAGTGATTATGTTTAAAAAAATGGATGTTCCAATTCTAATGATTTATCTGGCAGATTATTATTGTATAAAATAAATATTATTTTTTATAGGATCAATTAAGAATTAGTCATCCTTCTTCATAACATTTTACAATAATATCTATTAAACTTTCAAGGAGAATCACAATTTTATCAATAAACGAGTAAGAACCTTATAAAATTCTTTTATTTTTCCAGTCAATAAGTCCAATTCACATTTTATAAATTCCTTTATAACCAAATATTCTCAGTATTAAAATTGTCACAAAGAGCAACAGATGTCTTTTGACCATTAAATTACACTTTGATTACTATAAAATTGCAGTTTCTATAGGATTATCTGGAATAAAGGAGTTAGAAGTTATTTTTTGAAATTCAGAAAGTTAAATTCATGCGGTTATTCTGATTGGGAATCAAGATTAGACAATTATGGATTAATTTCTGAATTCAATCTCAAATCAAAAATTTCTAAAAAGTTGTGCTAATTTATGAGTTGACAAATAGATAGGGTCTAGAAATAAATTTTACATAATATTAAATTATATAAATTTGATGGTTCAACTTATACTTCACACTATCAATTAAATGAATTTATCTGGTCTATGGAAGCAAGCAGGTTATGAATTGATAGGATTGTAACTCATATAATGAGTTGAGTTATCCTTCATCTTATTTGCTCTAAAGAAATTGGTATATATATTAGGTAAACATAGAAATGGGCAATTCTATATGAGCATTCCATGCAGTTGGTGTGACAAATTCAGCAAAATAGGATATCTAGTCACATTATCTATAAATGGTTATTATATCGGAGCAATTTCCATTAGGATTGATTTTAGTTGAATATGCCAAAGCTCCATTTGGTGAGACATTAATTACGTAATATTCTTTCTTAGTCCCTATGTAAAATTCATCTACGTCATGTTACCATAATAGGTCATTACACTTATTTAAAGGAGCATCAATGAATCTAAAATAAAAAGGAGATTGTACGAATCAACATTGAAATAGTCAATGACTAGTTTATTATTCAGAGACTTGCAAATTGTGAAATAAGTGAATTCTACATTACCTTTGGTAGCTTAGTTTTGATGAACTAATATGTATTATGTTGCTCCCCATTTGCAATTTTCAACAATGATAGGATCAATTATCATAAAATATAATAATAATTTTAAAAGACTGTCAATTTAATTTTCTTATTGATATTTTTTCCATTTAATCTTGATGGTTCTATAGTTTGCCATCATCTGTTTTAGAGATTAAAATAGGAGAAATAAGATTTAAGAATTTAATTAAATTTCCTTGATGTATTTGTAAAAGATTCTTTTTGTAATTAATATATATTATATTGATTTGAATATTTTATTATGCAAGACATTATAATTAGGATGATTATTTAGCAATTTATTAAATTATGAACTTTGAATATGCGTAATCATGTAATTAATTCTTAACCTTTTAATACAATTATATAAGGATGCCTAGTAAAATTTGGTGTGAGAGGTTAATTAAATAGTATAAAAGCTTTCTTATAAGTCTTAACTGTGATTATAAAAGCACCATTATTTAATTTTTTCAAACTTTAAATATATAATTTTTTTTGATATTATTTTTTTGTAATAAAAGTTCATTTATTTATATCAAATTGTATGAGAGTAAACACTAATAATTCAAATTAATAGCGTCAATATCCACTATTAAGGTTATTCCTATCTGAACAATAGATTTTTTGATTTGAATTTGTTAACAATAATTTTTTCGTGCTCCAATATTATATCTGTTTATTGGATGATATTTTGTTTTTTTTTAATTGACTTGTTCCTCCTCCACCCTCTAATCCATTGCTTCATCATCCTAAGAATCTTATGATATTTTCCCCCTTATATACTTCATATATATTGTTTTCAATTACTTCTCATGACTCTTAATTTTCTGATGTCTTTTTGGTGAAATTGGAATAGTTCTAAGTGTGATTTGATAATATGACATGGTAAAAATATTATTGATGTAATATTATTGCATGAAATAAAAGAGTTGAAAAACCTGTTAAGAGGAGCTAAATTGTGTTGGGTGATGAGGTATTTTTCTAAATTTTTTTACAAAAATTTTATGAGATCAGATTCCAATAAAGCTTACTTATCCAAACATCTTCTATCTACCTACTCAAAATAATTTGTATTTTATAATTTAGTAAGGTAGGGAAAAATGAAATGATTTTGATTAAAAAATATATTTATTTATAATTAATATTTATTTATCAATCCTGCTTAAATGAATTAGAAACAGAGATTCAATTTTAAATTACTACAATATTGACTTTCTAAAATATCATTAGTGAGTTGCTGAGAAACAGATTTAACTTTAACAATTATAAGGCCAATATTCATGTGTTTTTTTATTAATCCAAAAAATCTCGATAATTATCTAATAAATCTTGTTTAATTCTAGCAAAAAAAACTTAGATTATTATAGTTATTTAATTTTGCAACAAATATTTATTGGATATATAAAATCAATTAGGCAAATCTTTAAGTATAGGAAAGATTCTAATAATTAGAATCAAAATTGTTACTAATCATTAAGTGACTAAAGAAATTCATTAAAAAATATCTTATCAAATTGATTCCTATTCCCCAAATCCTAATTTATAACATATAGATTAGAAGTTTTAAAAAGTACTTGTTATAAATCTTATTATAAAAGGACTTATTCATAATGTATAGAAAAACTAATTTCATAATTTCTATGTTTTCAAAATAGAGTTTCCTTAGTAAGATAATTTTGGGTTAAAATTGTAAATTTTACCATAAGAGTATAACTCAACATCAACAACTTATTTGAACGTTTTGTTAAATTGTTTTCATTGAAAATAATAAAATTTACATTGATATCAGAAATTTTTCATTATATTTTCTAGGGATTTATTGTGTATTAATATCCAAAAATTATGACAATTATGGGGAATATTGTTTCCATATTAACCCATATAAATATATCAAATGTTAATATCTTCAAAAAGCCTTGTTAAATTCAATTGGGATCATTCTTTCTTGCAGTGCAACCATAAGTCTATTTTAAATTTCTATAAGATTCAATAAAATGTCTTCAATTTATATACAGTTAACTGACTATGAAGATATCCTAAATATAATCTCAAAAAAATGTTAAGCTCACTTTAACAAAAATCCTATATTTAATTTATTTAATAAATACAAAATTATTCTATTTATTCATACTTTTTTAAAGGGTTGTTAGTGATGAGACCTAATTATATCATTAAAGAAGGTTTTAAGATATATTTCATTTTTTTGCTCATCATTTATAATCAGTGATTATTCAAAAATTTAATGTAGTGGTGCTTTTGGTTTTATAATTAGGACTAGTCCTTAAAAGAATTGACAATAACATTAAATTTAAATGTAGGAATCTTTTATTAGTATTTTGTAAAATTTGGGTATCTTGGTGCATTTATTTAAGGCTTTGTTTTAAAATCACATTTTTTGATTTTATTTTAAATAATAAAAATGATTTATCTTATCTTTACGATAGAAAGAAAGTATAATCGTATGTTATCATATGATTATATTAACATTAAGCTTAAAGGAACAACCTAGATGTATAGGAAAGATTGCAACAACTACACTCTCAAATCCATAGAAGTATTACAATTTATTACTTTATTGCTATAGTAAATTAGCAGAAGGAACAAGAGAAATAAAAAGAAGATTAGCCTTACTTGGGCTCAATTTCTTAATTAAATTAAGATTTATAAATTATTTTTATTTAGATTCTAGTCTTTAATGCAAGTTTAAAAATGAATTTACTGTTCAAAGAATATCTTTAGAAAAATATATCTATTTAAAGTAAATTAAATTCATAAATCATAAATATCTATTTAAAATTGTAGATATTTATAATCAAATCACATTAATTTTAAATACTTCCTATCAAATTATCTCATTATGTAAACAATAAGTTTTGTCTAGATATCTTGATATATAAATATTAATCGGAATAAATAGATATTATTTATTTTATAATTTTATGCACTATTTATTAATAATAATCATAAAAACAATAGATGATTCAGAATTTTTTACTTTTTTTTTCTTTTTTTCTTTATCAATTTTTATAATAAATTTTTGCAGATCCAAATTAGTTCTATAATAATACCTTTAGATAGTATGATTGCTTAAATCCATCCCAATATAATTTTTTTCTCTTCATTAAAATATTCAATAAACTCTTAGATGTATAAGAATGAACTAAGGATAAAAGTTAATACTGATATCTCAACCACCATTTAAACAATATAAGTTTTTTAATTAAAAATACGACGATAATTAAATATGAATCCAATCTAAAGTATGCTTGTAATAAGGAGTAATTATAATTAAAGTATTTGGGAACTTTAAACATAAATCAAAAATAATAAGAAGAAAAATTATCTACCAAAACTTAATATTTCAAACATTTAGTATCTGTTTTTCTTTGAGAATTTTGAATTACCTTTGAAAAAATTTAGGAAAATGGTAAAATAAAGGATAAGTATGATGCTTGCAATAATAATTTATACAATATCTAGGTAATTTTTGTTTTACATGTTTCGTGTATACAATAATGTTTTAAATATCATATCCCAACCATTTAGTAATAAGACTTTTTATAATCCTTATAAAGACATAAATCTTTTCAATTTAAGTAATTTCATGCAAATGTTATAAAAGAATTAACTAAACTTAAAAATTACTTTGGGATTTATATATAATGATAATGATGACATATAGTAAAAGTACCTAGAACAAAATATCCATTTATACAAAACCTTTTTAATCCAATGAAATAATACAATAAAGAATAAAAATATTAACAATTAAAATATTTGGCATGTAAGATTGATGATCAAGTTAGTACTTTATTTATACACATTAAATTTTCCATCAGAATATTCTTAATTTTATTATATATCAATAAACTTTAAAAGTTTAGGAAAATACATAAAATCCAGTAGAGGTTGAATAGTTATCATATCATTAAAAGTAAAATAAATCTCTAGATTTTCTGGATATTACAAGTTAATGTATCTTAAGTGTTGCTAGAATTAAAGAATTGCCATAATTTCAACAAACAAATCCCCATTTTCTAATAGGAGACTAAAACCAGTAACTCCAGACAAACTATAAATTACAAATTAATTAAGATTTTTCAAATATTAAGAATAGTCCTTTTGTATCTCATCAAGAAATTTTGGATATTGCAATGTTATTGATTTTTCAACATTTTCCAAAATAGCATCATCTAGATTAGCAACAGTCTAATTTAATTTAATTTTCAAGACTGGCCTAAATTCAAGTAATTATTATATTTCTATTTAAACAATAAATTCTCCGAAACTCACATCTGATCCCACATCCTATATAATATATAAGCTGCTATTCCAGTTCTTCTTATCTATATTTGATATTTCAAAATTTATTGTTTCTGATAAGGGCTAAGCTGTATAAATTTTTACTTTTTAATTAAATTAAATGCTTATATACTATTTATTTTAAGTCATATTGAGATAATTAATTTCTAAGTTTGGAGCTTTGACAAATGTGCATTAGCTCAGAGAATCTCTTGTCATTGTAATACATATCCAATTTTATTCAATAAAACAATCCTTGCATCCATCAGCTGCTTAATAATTTCCATCATCACATTCTTCTTATTCTTAAAGTAATCCATCTCCACAGTTTAATTACTATTTGCATTAATTTGAAATTAGTAATTAGTATTGGTAATTACACTCTAAACAAGTACCTTAATAGCAATCAAAGCAATTTTCCGGACAAGAATACTTGCAATTAAAACAACCATCATAGGGTTACAAATTACCATCATCGCAATCCTCTTCTTTTGTAATAATTTGATCACCACAAACAGAAAGACAACTGTTATTGACAAATTCATACCCATTTTCACATTTTAAAATGCATTATCCTCTTTCACATATTTTGCAATCTTCAATGCATTGAAACATACATTAAAAACAACCATCATAAGGTTGCTAATTACCATCATCACAATCCTCATATTCTTCAAGAATTAATTTATCACCGCAATAAGGAATACATACGTTTTCTTATAGTGCAAATCCAACTTCACACTTTAAGCAAATTGAAAAGTGGTTGATTTTACAGTTTTCAATTGATATAAATCTGCATTCTTAACAATCATCCCATACCCCATTAACTGCCAGTTCACATTATTCAGTTGTATAAGGAGTTAAGTTACCATCCCCACATAAAGGATCACAATCAAAATTAGCATTAATAATAAATCCATCTTAACATTATAAACAAATTCCAAATTAACAAAAAGAACAAAATTGTTAACATGAATATTTGCATAAATAACAAGAATCATTTGATATTAGATTACCATCATCACATTGTTCTTAACCTTGAACAATTCCATCACCACAAATTGGATGACAATTTTCTAGAAGTTCATCTTAAATCCAACCTTTTTAACAAATTAAACATTTATCATCTAATTACTCTAAACAACCTTCATAAAAATTATATTCACATTATTCAGTAAAATAAGGAGTTAAATTACCATTCCCACATAAAGGCTCACAATTGAAATTAGCATTAATAATAAATCCATCTTAACATTATAAACAAATTCCAAATTAACAAATTGAACAAAATTGTTAACATGAATATTTGCATAAATAACAAGAATCATTTGATATTAGATTACCATCATCACATTGTTCTTAACCTTGAACAATTCCATCACCACAAATTGGATGACAATGTTTTAGAAGTTCATCTTAAATCCAACCTTCTTAACAAATTAGACATGTATTATCTATTTAATTTAAACAACCTTCATAAATAATATATTCACATTATTCAGTTAAATAAGGAGTTAAATTACCATTCCCACATAAAGGCTCACAATTGAAATTAGCATTAATAATAAATCCATCTTAACATTATAAACAAATTCCAAATTAACAAAAAGAACAAAATTGTTAACATGAATATTTGCATAAATAACAAGAATCATTTGATATTAGATTACCATCATCACATTGTTCTTAACCTTGAACAATTCCATCACCACAAATTGGATGACAATTTTCTAGAAGTTCATCTTAAATCCAACCTTTTTAACAAATTAAACATTTATCATCTAATTACTCTAAACAACCTTCATTCAACTTATTAAACATTATTTCTGCTTAAGTGTAAAATACTTCAAAATCTCTTATATAACTATCAACTGAAGCTAATTAAGTTTTAATATTTAATGATAATATAGGATCATTATGATTTCTTATTAATATTTCTACTTATTAATCGGCAGAACTAATTGTTTATTTACCATATAAATAGTTTACTATTATTATAGTATCTTATATCTTAAAAAATCTTATTAAAACATCTTAATGAGGAGGTAATTAAGTAGAATATTTAAGCTCTATAAATCTCAAAAATTAACAATTTCCACATCTGAAATAAGTATAATAATTAGAAGATGATACAAAAGTCCATCCATCAGAGTTTGTGATTAGTTTCTAATTAAAAGAATATTAATGCAGTTTCCATTATAAGTAGATTGTACGATAATTCTCTATGCATCCAGCAGATTCATACTAACATTTAATAATACTTAATCTTAATGATATTAATCCTCCTCCAAGATAGTTAGCCCATATCCAAACAGTTCTTCTATTATGTTAAAGAGTTATAGAAATAGTATATACATTTTCGAGTTGTGTATCACCACAAATTTAAGATGATATAACTGATTAATGACTGATAGATATTTCATCTATTAAAAATAAATAATAAGGTGAATAATTGTCATCAATCCTTTTGTTATAATGGTTATAATTACCTAAGAAATTCTGCATCCACAATAATATGAGAATGAGATTCTAGATCTAAAAATATTCTGCTAATATCACTCCAACTAGTTTTACTAGGTTTCCCAAAATATTGAATCCCTCCACAAGTATTGAAATTAACATTATTATTTTTATCTTGCCATTCTAACATTAAATAAAAAGAAATTACAATCTCTTATGGCAGAAGTTGCATAAAACTAATAAATGAGAGTTTGATGAGTTGTTTACAATAAAACAATGAGTAGTATCATTAGAAAATAATTTAAATAATATAATTATGAGTTTAAAAAAATGAAAATGATTTCAGATGAAGATCTTAGTATTCAATTTTATCCAAACAGATAACTTGAACAATTATGATTCATAATTAAATTCATTATTCTTATTATTCATTATTATTTATATATGATAAATAAGAAATGTCCAAAACAAAATGAGAATATGATTAAGAGTATTATAAGGTTTATTGTTAGATTTGGATTCAATTAAACTATTCTGCATTATGTAATGATTGAAATCATTATAACAATAAGACAAAAAGAATGCTTTGCAAATAAAATTTACTTTTAAATTTATTGTTAGGAAATTTAAATGTATTTTTTTTATTTTTTTATTTTGGAGTATTATAAAGAATTTTTGAATTAAAATTAATATATATATTTGAATATTTTTAAATAGGTTCTTATTTTTGTGAAAACATAATAAATGCATCTCAAAAAAGATATATGGTTCATGATTGGGATTTACTTTTGATAAGTTAATTAAAAAAATGAATCAAAAGGAGAATTAGTAAATTTATTCTTTTTCTGAAAGGATATGATTGACTGAATATATATTAATCAGTTAGAAGTTGAGGATAGATAGCTAAGAATCTAACTATTTGTATACATTATTTAAGAGCATATTTAATAAATAACTTCTTCTAATAATCATAAGTTGATTGTTATAAATAGTATGAATTGTTTAGATATTTAAAGAAAATTATAATTGTTAGGGATCTATAATTAGCAGCCCAAAATTAGGATTTGGAATCTTGATAAAAATATAAGCATCTTGTTTATCTTTTTTATTAGATAATGTGATAAAAAGTAATTATAAACTTATGTATAGTATTAGAATTAAACCAATAATCGCATTTATAGTATTAAATGGCATAAGAGGGGAATTGAAGATGTAATTCGGAAATAAAATCAATGCACTAATCAAAAATTAATGAAGGATTGCAAAATAAACTTTTTATGTTCCAAAAGAGAAGTATTCATTTTTGGATTTAATACAAAATTTCTAGAGTTTTTTTGAAAACCATAAATCAAAAAGCAGGTATCTATAATTATTTTAGAATATTTGGAATAAAATTAATGCAAGGCTTCAATTTTTTTCAGATGTAAAAAATCTACAAATCAAATATGTTAGCAACTTTTCTCATTCAGCGGGTAAAATAAGTTTCATGAATTTGATAAATTAGAATAATATTTTTTACTTTGAAATGGTAAACTTCCCCCATTTAAAGAACTTAATATTTCATCTATTCTAAAATAATTCAATATTGGTTTATACTATGAATTTGAAAAAAATTGAATATATTGGATGATAAAATGTGTTTGATAGCTTAACAATTGGCTTTAAATTAATGACTTCATGAGATTATGGAATAAGATTGACTGCTGCCATTACCTCAAAGCTAATAATTTGAACTTTTATTTGAATCTTAACTCAATTGCTAAAGTTTTTATCATCTAAGAAAATTAAATAGTGTATTCATGAAATAAAGTATTGAGAGAATAAATAATCTATGTAAGGTTTATAAGAGAAATAATTAGAATGAATCACAAAAATCAGATTATTTACAAACTAAAATGAGTCTAAACCTTATATGATAAAGGAATTTGGTCAGAACAACATGAATATTAGTAAAAGTATAGTTTATTGGAATGCAGAGAACTTCAACTAATTAATAGTTTTAGAGAGAATATAGTATGAAAGTTAATAAAACAAGCGGTTGTAAGAATTATTGGAAATTAAAAATAATTAAGCGAGAATTTATTAATAAATTATGTTAAAATGTAACAATATTAGGGACAAATGAATATATAGAAATAGATATATAATTATGATTTGATAAAGAGTAGCAGGGAATTAAAAGAATAAAACATAGAAATGGTAAATTTTAAATTGTAGGTATTATGTTGGAGGCTATCTCATTTAAAGATTTTTTAAATGAGATATTTAGGATAGGCAAAATCTTTAAGAATCCTTGAGTGGCCAAACCGGATGAACATGCCACTGCTACACATATCCAATTTAACTAAGCTTATCCAAAACTTAGGACACAGACATCTGCACGGAAGCAAAAATATGGTCTTGACACAAAATTGGTAATCATATACCATCATCTTCTGCTCATATCTAATGAGTAGATCAAGATGCAAACTCGGGGTTTGAGGTTCCTCCTAGTAAAGTTAGGAGAGATGGATTCGATCTTTTCAAAAATTATCACTTGACCAAGGTTAATTTTCTAATTTTATTTTTTACATATTTGATTATAAATCAAGTATTAAAAAATGTCTTCATTTTTTTTATACTAGAAACAATTCCAACTATTTATATAAATAAATTATTGTCGTTTGAATTATTAACATTATAATTTTAAGAATTTTTAAATTCATAGAGTATTTCATCGAAATGAATCTGAATCTACTTGGTTATCATCCTAAATTAATTTTCATGATAGATGAATTTTAATTTATAAAGTATTAATTTAGAAATTACTTTTTTTCTTCTCTATTTTGCATTTAAGAATGGGATTTAATAAACTTAATCTAGATGAACCATGTGCTATTATTAAAAATAAATTAAAAAAATAGAAAATTAAATATAAGATTGATAATTTAATTATTCAACTCTTTCAAAGAATGAATTTAACCAAATATCTATTTGAATTAGATATCATTAACACATTTAAAATAGATGCATTAAATTGGATATTTGTTTCAAAATAGATATATAGTGTATCTAAACTTAGATATATATCCATTAAAGAGAGCATCCTTATATTTTGATTTTAAATTCAAAAAAATAGTCAAGATTATCAAATAATGACTGGATATATATTTAAAATATCAAAATTAATTTGATATATAATATAAAATACAATTTAAGTCATATATGAATACAATTAAAGACTTATAAAGATTACAAATTCTTAATAGATAATATATTAAAATATTCTATTAAATAATAAATCACAATTTAATGAATAATATTCAATATTTATAATTGCTATATTTCTATTACTACTTTAATCTAAACCTTCTTATAAGAAAATATAAAATAATTAAAACAAAAACTAGAACCGATATTATCTAAATATTATAGGTGTCTATATTTATTTGTTATGCTTAAGGTACTTCAATAGATACCTTAAGTTCAGCCTCTGATACTTCGTTTTAAGCAATCAATGTAAATGTTTTTTCTTAATAATTCTCTTCATTAATCTAAATTAAGTAGCCAAGTTCACCTATAAATAATTTATCACCTAATTCAGAATAAATAAATAAATGAGTAGTATTT